TTATCTAGAATATGAAATCAGATCAACAAGTACATGCAGCTTTCAGTGGGACAGGAAACCATTGACCTATCTAAAGGGAGAATTTACTAAGAAACAGTACCATTTCTTGTTCATCCTCAAAAATAATGGGTACTAGAAATATACTATTCTTTATCATGGAAAAAAAATGGCAATTCACTAATTACCTCTACAGAGCTAGACAAATCTATACAATATATAATAGAAATAATTCTAATTCTAGCTTTTATAAGACATATAGAACCATATAACACTGAAAAACCTGCCAGAAGCCACACCTGTTCAGGCAACTTCCTGCCTTAAATCATTAGAGGTGTAGTTCTGCTATATTACAGGTTCTCATACACCAAGAAATCCACTTCTGTCACTCACTAGATGATTCACACAGATTTACTGTGCCCATCATGGCTTTCAGTCTGCATAACTGGAAATAGGACCCACAAATCTGATCAGCAACTGACATTCTTCCTGTATTTCCTACTGAAATGATACATTAAAGAGTCAGGTAAGCGTATGGTCACTGCAAGACTCCAGCAAGACTTTCAGAAGTAATTTTATTCATTTTTATTATTTTTAAACAAAGTCAGAAGAACATTAACAAAGTTCACATTCCATTTCACTTACAGAAAAATTACTGGTTATTACTTGCAAATTATGGTTAAATTTCCCTTTGACATTAATAGGGTAGGTAAGAACTACAATACAGTATAATAGCTTTGAGTTGCTGATATTCAGGCAGCAAAAAGCATCATTCTAATAACCTGAAAAATGTCCTTTTTCATGCATTTGAATAAAAGATTAAACTTTTAAGTCTATACACTCATTTGACTGTCAAGATGGTAGATATGGATGCAGGTTTAGCTTACTGAGCACACATATGACTGAGTATTAATAAACTTGAGTTCTGTATCTTGACTAAAACAGTCAACCGATTTCCTTACTTTTGTATCCCATCTGGAAACACAGGAGTAGAAACATTTGTTGGGCAAAGTTGGGCAAAATTATTAGAATAACCTTATCAGTGATAAAAAAAACAATAGGTGAGATGAAGTTCAATAGTCATTTAGACATAATTATTTCTTAGGACCTTTCTTCCCATTCATTTTCTTTATAATGAAATGCAAAAATTATAGGTAGCAAAGATAATATTTTATTTAGATATATGCATACATTTTTGCACTCTCTGTTAAGAAATTGTGAACAGCTACAAGAAAAGCCTGCACAAAAATGCTGTCTGACTGGTGATCTCTGCACAATTACATACAAACTTGCAGCGTAAAAATGTCCATGGCAGAGGCTGGATTCCTTTGCTTGGGATCACCAGGACTCCTGCTACTCAGTGACAGTCAAATAAATTTTGAAACTTTGTAATTTATGCACCCCACATGGATACATGATAACAACTTTCAAGGATTATCCGCAGCTGATGCATTATGTAGAAAATAGTCTTGAAAAATGCCCTGTAAATTATCTTTGAAAATAATATTAAAAAATGTCTGAAAAAAAAGAAATCTACACAAAAAATAGAACATCCACCAAGTTTGTATGTTTAAATTTGCACATGATGATGTCTCCTGTCTTAATGTTTAGAAAGCAATAGCAAACAGTCAATATAACACAATCAAGTCTGTGATCACTAATGAGTACATACATGAGCCCTCAAAGACATGAAAGGCATGGAGGCACATGCAGATCATAATTCAAGCTTAACTGCAAGTATAATTCCTCAGCTCTCATTATGTTCATACTCCGTGCGGTGTTTATATCACACAAATACATTACAGTGGTGTTTCCTCGCCTCTTTAAAAAAAGATCTGTAGAACATGTTGAACAGTGCTGCCACAATGGTTCTCTTTTACAACCAAAGAAAAAACAGTTGCATTTTAAACGCTCATTATTATTATTTCCTCCCATTCTGTTTTTTGTTTACATGGGAGGGCATCTCCATGTGTTCTCTAATTATTAAAAAGTCTTACAGAATGTGCAAGAGTCAAGGCAGGAAAAGTACAAAACCCATGAATTCCCTATAGGTTTAAAAACACAGTACTGTAAAATAGTCAGGCTTCATCAGCACAGAGTAAAATATACCAAGGCAGTAAATTAAAAGGTCTTCCGGACTTGAATCAACTTTTGAAAAAAAAAAAATGACAAGAAATACGAATTTACTCACCAACATTAACAACGCATTAAATTACTCTTGTGCAGTGAACAGAAATTGGGAAACAGGGAAAAAGAGTAGGGATTGAACTGTATACATTAACAAATTTGAATGTTCATCTATGACTACTTTTTGGCAGCAATTAATAAGATTTCTTTGTGGGATATATTTTGAGACTGCAATGCAGAGCTTTCTCCAATAAAGCTTAGGACCTATCTTTTACCCTCGATTATTACCAACCATAATTATTAGGCTGGTTTGTCTAAGAAAGAAGATTTTAAAATCCAAGTTGCCAGAAATCTGGTCATTTTTTTTTCTTTTTTCAGGGAAACTTTGTATAGCAGTCTGAGGGCAGAATAAATTTTCTGTTTTGCAGGAAAATACAACAGTTACAGCATTGAAAAAACAGCCAACAGAGGCAGAAGATAATTATTTAAGCTAGGGAACACACACCACCCTTAATCCAATACAAAGAGATATTAGGCATGATCTTGGTTTTGAACTGCTGTCTGATACAGCTCCTGAAAGAGATTCATGGGCTGGAAATGCAACTGAGCCCAAGGATTATGAAGATTCAGTATAGACAGTGATGGAAAAATGGGCGCAGAAATTACCGAGTTAATTGTCTTGCAAATCAAGAATATATATGGAAGAAGGATAAACAGAGGAAATGTTAACAAAAAAATACCTCTACAACAAAATACGACTATGAAGCAGTAAAAGAGATGAGATGGAGAATAAACAGAGCTACAAAACAGATTTGCTGTGCTGAGAAGCCCAAAAGAAATGCCAATGAATATGAGATGATGGGACAATGAGGGAGAAATGCAGTCAAGCTAAAAAGAAAGAAGATAAGGAATTCACCAAGGATACAAAGCAAACAAGGAAAATTTAAAAGCCTGAGATGATAAGCCAGAAACATGTGCAGAGTTACTAGAAGATGGGACAACATGCTAAACCCAATCCCCACAGTAAATGAATAAATAAAACTCAAACACAAAAACAATCCCCAGAACCAACACATGCCCAGTTTTACATCCCAGGAGACCGACTATTGAAAAAAAATAAAGACACGTGTGACTGACCAGTAAACCTCTACCATGGAAGAAGGCTCAGAGGAGATGGACCAGGGCAATGTGCCCATCAAGCTCAGGCAATAATGCAGGCCGGGACGGACCACAGCTGTTGCAAAGAAGCTGACTTCATCTCAACACCAAGGGGACCCAAGGGTGGTCTTCACTTTAGATAAATGGCTATCAACAGCAGAGCAACTGGTAGTGTAAAGGTTTCTCCCCGAGTTCATTAAAAGAGTGTGAATGTCTCCCTAAGTTAGCCAGGCCAACATGGGGGAGGCCTATATGTGGCTTAGCCCAACATAAAGACTATAAAAATGTAAACAACTAACAAAGACTTTAAAAGAGACCAATAGGCTTGAGCTGGCTTCAACCCAGAGACTGGGGACGCCCAGTGTTGCAATGGTGAGCATATTAGAGAGATGTTGGGAATCACGTTGATATTATTATTGAACTGTGTATTGCAATTGCTATATTCTGCAATGCATAACTTCTATTTGTATTGTGTTTTCAGTATGTTTTTTATCACTCTGCTAAATCAGAAATCCCATGCAACATCAACTATCTTCAAATAAGTAAATCTGATGTTAAACATGACACCTTCCATGCATGGAATATCCAAAAGAACCTGGTCAGAGAGAACTAGACTCTGAGAACAGCTCAGTTACATGAGCAGCCAAATCACAGATAAGCAAACTCTCTAGGAAGATGTATGAAGTATATCTGACTAAAATATTTAGGACACACTTAATTTAGGACATAGACTATTGGGATGACTAATGGAGACCTCTCGTTAAAAAAGTATTTAAAAAAAATCTAGTCTCATGTAGTCCAAACAAAAGGTTGAGGGGATACAGCTCTGACTAAATACAATCCGAGGTTGATGGCCACCTTCTGAAGCATGGATGTAGGCCAGTTCCAGGTCATGGGCCAGCAGGCTTGTTTAGCTAGCATGCAGCTGCTGTAGCGAGCTAGAGCACTGCCAACATCCCCAGCTTTTTCCACAGTACCTTGCACTTTGGAATTTTGACCACAGAAGCTGTGCCTTCTGGTCTGTTGCATCCGTTACAGGGTGAAAGGAAGCATTTTGTAGGTGTTCAACATTTCTGATCTAATGCTGATTGATCACTCTGCTCTTAAGGACTGGATTCAATGACACACACAATCTCATCCTACATCCTGTGTTCCTGTAGATGGCATAGCAAGGTTTGTTTTGTTTTGTTTTCCCGGGGGGAGGGAGGGCAAAAGAAAAGGAGAATTTTTGTGTTCTCTAAATCACAAGGCACTTCTGGCACTCAGATCACCAATTAAGTGGAATAATTTTTAAAGCATCCAGGAAACATCCACGTTCCTACAGTATACTACATCTGAAAGACAAAAGACTTGGATTGTTTCTCTCCTCGTTTTTAATATTTCTACCTACCTACCTGTCTGGGCTTTACAGACAACGAAGAGCTCACTGGATCTTCAGTTACCAGCTGAGCTCTGCAGCTCTTGTCCTTTCAGGAATGATCATTGTCTTGCACAACTAGGGTTTTTAGAAGAAGATGTTCTGCACACATTCTAGTCTACATACCAATGACCACACTGCATCAGTTACAATAGCACTCTAATATATGACAAAATTATGCCAAAGCATAATCACAAAGCCTTTTAGGGGAAATCATGATGCCAGTAAAATTGGTAACAAAACCCCCGGATTTTATCTTTTGTTAAATTACACAAACAGGACATTTAAAAGTCATACCTACCTAAACTGTTATTGCTGCTAGTTGGCCAGGAAGCTATCCTATCCCTTAACTTTTTCTTTTTACAAGAGTCATCCGATTTCACAGAAAGTTCCACTTCCTCATTCCTGATTTCTCGCACCAGTTCCATGTGGCACTGACTAAAATCCTGGAAGGAAATTTTTCCATTTTCATCTGCTCCCAGCTGGTGCATGATCTCCGCAACAGACTCCTCCATATTCAGCTGGCGGCACACCATCAGCAAGTCATTCCTGAGGATATTTTTAGAGGGAAAATGGGGGCAGGGGAAGGATGGAAGTGAAAGAAAGATGGAGAAGTGGGAACAGAAAAGAAAAAAACAACAATTTAGTTTAGAAGAAAAGGAATACTAACTCTGCCTAATCTGGAAATGCATTAATGCACAGACATTTAAAACCAATAAGCCAACTATTGTTTTTGTTCATTCAACAAATGAACTATGAGATTGGCAAGAAATTATAACACAGAAAGACTATAGAAAAGAAGGGAACATTTCTCTTTAAGTGTTAACCTCTATTTTCATGCCATTATTAATACTTCTACTAGCAGACAGACACAAGGGAGAGCTGAATCCTGCTGGCGATCTTCACAATATCTTCTGAAAAGGTGACATAATAAGAATTTAAATAATTATCTTCTGATTAGATCAATGGCTACTCAAGTTTCCTTTTTACTCCAAACAGGCCACGGAAATTTCTTTTGCCACTGAACAGCAGTAAGGTAAAGAGGAAAAACATGTAAAAGACACAGAAAACAGCAGAAAAGAGGAATACTATTTTGATTAACTGGCTTCAAGCCTGTCTCCAAATATTCTGACTACAAAATCATCTGAAGAAGCTTTTGTTTAACAAAGCTCACAAAAGGGGGAGGAGGGTAGCACTATGAAAAATACTCTGGCACCAACTGCGAGTGGCCAAAAGACAGCTGCAACCAAACCAACATGGAAGATACATCACATGATACCTTTACATACAATGTACTCTTACGAGAGATGCATGCAAATAACCCTAAACACGCTATCCAGGCAAAAAAAAAGCCAGCAACCCTGTGACCAATGCCATTTTCTATTTATGGTTTCTACAAGAACCTTAAGAACATAACTTGGGCTTAATTTGGGGTATAAGACTAGTCTCAGGAGAAAATATTCTGAGGGGTTCCTCATCACTCTGTCTTTTTTCTTTTTCAAAACTGAGGTAAGATTAAGTATTTTGAAAGAATTCTCAACAGTAGCAGTTGGTAAAAAAAAAAAAAAATTAAAAATCATGAATCGGAGGCTGATAACTAAATAAAGAAAGGTGAATAACCATTAACAAGCTTACTGAGGGAACGACAGGAATGAAGGTATTGGATGTTAGTTGGATATAAAGTAAGTGGACTATTAGGCAAACACTCAATATTCTCCAACAGTGGCGGATATGCAGCTCAGTGAAATTCCTCAGTCATTTGCTTCATCAGAAACTAATTCAACACCTCAGAAAAGGGAGGGTTTTTAAAGATATTGTCATACTGCCTTTTTTCAAAATGTAAACCACTAAAAAACTCACTGCTGTTCTTAGTCAAACACAACTCTACAACTGTAAATCTAGATCAAATAATCTTCCTGAGCATACAGAGAAAGCACCTGTGCTCCTCTACTCGAGCAACTGAGAACTACAAACACTACTGAAAATAGATTTCATTTACTTGGAGTGCATTGTGCAATCTGAAAAGACAAGAGTTTTCCTAATCTCCATCTACAAACATTATCAAAAAGATTTTTATTTTTAAGTAAAGAAGAACATTTTCATTTTAAATTCTACAAACTTTCCCATGTGGATGGGCAGGAGTTTCTCCATGTAAATATCTACTTATTGAGACCACAAGTAATTGGAACTTCTAGTCACTTTAAAAGAAAATTGTGTCAAAAGCATTCTGAAATGTAATAAAAATAAAATACTTGGGAACATAAACCTCCACAACCAGTGATTATGAAACCACAGGGTTCTACTGCAGGTATGGTCCTACCTCTTTTTTAATGAAAATAACTTTATTGATAAAATAATCCAGCCGTGTATTTTGAATCAGCTTTAAAAATCAAGATGACTATAAAAAAGTCTCTCCTAAGACACCAGTTCAATACAGACAAAAGCTTATCTTTGGCAGAGAGATGTACATAATTCCCATACATCTGCTCTTAAACCTAAATATTCTCTATTCTGTGGGAGTTAACTGACATCTTCCTACCAACTATACAAAATTTGGATCCATTTTTATGGCGACAGACACACAGGAGACAACTGAGAACAGGAAGTCTCTATGTTATAGAACCTCAACCCATCTAAACATATTTCAAATGAATTCTCATCTGTATTCAAAGGTAGGAATTTTTCAGAGCCAAAAGGGTTGGGCATTTAAAGCTACTCGGATGTTCTGAAATTACTAGCTAACACATAACATATGAACACCTGCCAGCCTGTTACAGAACTGTTTTATTATACACTGTCTTATGACAAATCATTCTTGCTCACCTTAAGCTGATGAGCACTGGAAAAACAACAACTAGAAGACACAGAATAGACAGTTTTCAAAAAACCACAGTATTAGAGTAGATAAGAGTTACAGGACTAGTTAGGTTTATGAATACCATAATTTGGAATATTTTAAAATACTTAGAATGTTTTTAGTTTTGGTAAGGCTTAATTTCACTTTTTGTGCCCCATTTTCTCTTCAGTAACTCTCCTGGGTTTTGCCAAAAGTACACAATTGGAAATCAGAATCTGGTCAGTCAGCTTTATTACTTCAATTGTGGTTAAAGATTAGCTCTTCAGACAACAAAGAAATCAAAACAGAAACTGCAACAAAATTGAGACTGTAGTAGTTCACATGAAAAACATAAATCAACCTGGAATTTCCCTAGTATTTCCACCTTCTATTAACAGTCTCAATAGACTATATTCCAAACATGTAAAAAACTCCACATATTAACTGACATCAGTACAAGAATACAGGCCCTAAACCATTCTTCATTCTGCAAATCAGAAAGATATTTTGGATTCAGCAAGCTTGCTACATAATATTAAAACATTTCTCCAATATACATCATCTGGAATATTTTTAGATTAAGGCACCCAACATGAGGAGAAAAAAAAAAATTCCTTAAGTAGAATCTTTTAATTTAACCTTGAATTAAATTCGCTTTCATTGGAAAAACATAGTCAGGAAAAAAAAAAAAGGTACCTCATAATACGTTTTAAGAATATGTCAGCTATCAGGTCAATGAAACCTAACTTTTGAAAACAGTCAGAAAGCAAGCAAAGGAAGCTGTAAAGCTGAACTCTTGGCATCACAAGAAACTGCTCTTTTAACAGGAAGACAGGTTATTCTATCGCAACTGGTTCTAATTATTCAGCCATCCACCTATCACACCAGTCCTTCAAGAACTGTTACACATTCCATCTTCTTAATTCCCACTAACACAGTTTAAAAACACAGGATTTCTCTAACAATTAAAAAATGAGCCTAACTTATATCAAGTTATAAGTTTGAAACATTTAGATTTTCTCCCCCAAGAGAAATGAAATACAAAAATATCATCATATGTACCACCTGCTATAATAATACTGGGTAGTTAAACATGTAAGTCAAGCATACATGTGCATGTTCTAAAAATTACAACATAAAAGCTTTTGGGGGTTGTTATTTTTTTATTTGTGTTTTTTGGTTGGTTGGATGGTTGGTTGTTTTGGTGTGGTTTTTTTTAAACAGAAGATCAAACTTAAAATTAGTGAAACTTCTGTTAAGACACCAAAACAGGATCAGTAACACAGTCTTTTTCTTTCCTAGAACAGCCATAGTCCCTGAGGTAGTCACTTTTACCTTGTTCTGATTATCGCTTTGGTAAGCATGAGAAACTACCTATGTAAGCATATACACATGCTGCACAATACCTACAAGGGGTTGGCTCTGAGACGGAAGAGAACCAGTGGAGTAATTATCCTGTTCTTTTCCCCATCCTATGTTCTATCAAATTTATAAAGGAAGTCTGGTAAGGGTGGTTCTACAGCCACTATATAACACCAAGAGCAATATATATTTACTTAAACCCATTTAAATTTCCAGTTACTAAAAAGGTATGGTCATTTTGCTGGAAAACATTTAATCTTTGCTTATGCAACTTGCAGTCTAGGTGCACAAATACATTTGAAGAAGAAAAGTCAAAATTAAAGATGCACTCAAGTTCCCTAGAGGCAAGTGGAGTAAGAAAACCTGTTCCACACAGTTGTGCTGTGAGTCACTTCTAGACCAGTACTGTAGATAAACAGTGATCTATTTGAAACATTAATTTAAAAAGGACTAACCTGGAAATGCCTGTCTAAGGGACCATCTCCAGTAAACGATGCAATAAGAAGTTGCCAATACAAAACATATACAGGAATCACTGGAGTTAGATCACTTTAATCCTTGGTAAGAGTTTGTTTAATTTAGTCCCCTGGTGTAGCCACCAATCTCCAGAGCACCCGCTGCCGGGCACTGACCTGACTGCTGTGTTTCTGAGCCTCACGTGGTGCCACATCTGCTCCGACTCTCACAGCAAGTCAAGCCCCTGGCTGCTTACATCGTGCAACTACACCAGTTCCCTAGCTTTGACTTTTCCATGAACAACCGCAGGCAAACAATCCTGGCAACGATCTCCAAATGTTTTTTTTTCCTCAAACATTAGTAGTCTCAAAGACTACTTTCCTAAAATACCTGATTTTGCTTTCTCGTTCAGAGGCTGTGGGCTCTTGCAAAAGAGAGAAAGAGAAATCTGGTCTGAACGAAGGCTGCCCTGTCCCAGAAAATGCCAACAGAAGTCCCTCCCTCCAGCTGAGCATTCTCCAGATCTCTGTGTCTGGGCTTCAACTACATGGCTCCGCAGGTTTGAGCTGGTCTCCTTGCCTTCATGAATGTTGAAGATAAGCAAGTAAGACCAAGACTTCCACGCACCTTAAGTGCACCCTCCCCCAGGAATTTCACTGTGTGGGATTTGATCTAGCAAAGGTAACAACAATCTAAATTCGTAAGACATGCTGCAATGCAGAACTCTAAAGCTGGTCTTAGTTGAGACAGTGCATAAAAGCCAGAGGTAACCAAAACAAAAGTATACTTTTTGCCTCTATTTCTTCACCAGTCTTTGATTTAGACCTAGGTCAAATAATAGCCTCCAACAAGTACCTCACTTCTTTCTGCCAACAAAAGATTTTCTGCAAATCACCA